TCGAACCCGCAGGCTCAGGCAATCCACTCACCTCAGCCTCCCAAGGAGCGGGATTACAGGCTGAGCCACCGAACCCGTCTCTACTCATAATCTTTTTAACCCATAAAGTTTGTTTCCTTTTTTAGTTTGGTGTCATGCTTAGCTCTTCTCCTACCTCAACTATTTTTTTTATATATATATATATATATATATATATATTACATGACTTCTTGTAACTTATGTATTCTTGTTTTAATTTTAAAATATTAATGTATTTGGGCCTTTTCTTGGTATAGGATTTGAGATAGGGATCCAGCTTAATTTTTCTAGATGGCTACTCAGTTATCCCAATTCCATTGATTGAGAAATACATCTTTTCCCTTTTATTTGAAGTGCTGTCTTGTAACATATTAAAGTTGCATGTGAGCCGGGCTCGGTGGCTCAGCCTGTAATCCTGCACTTTGGGAGACTGAGGTGAGTGGATTGCCTGAGCCCGCGGGTTCGAGACCCGCCTGGGCAACTTGGCGAGACCGCATCTCTACAATAAATCAAAAAATTAGCCGGGCGTGGTAGCGTGCACCTGTAGTTCCAGCTACTTGGAAGCTGAGGCAGAAGGATCGCCGGAGCCCAGCAGGTCGAGGCTGCAGTGGCTGGGAGCATGCCACTGCACTCCAGTCTGGGCGACAGAATGAGACTCCAATTCAAAAACAAACAAACAAACAAACAAACTAAAATAAAATAAAGTTGCATGTGTTTGCATCTGTTTGTGGACTCCCTTTATTCTCTCATTGATATGCCAATACCACACTGTTTTAATTAGCGTAGCTTTACTATAATTATTTTATTCCTCTCCAGCTAATTCCCTAGCCTGTTTACCATAGTGCCTGCACACACACAGCTCCTTTGTTTTTTTCAAGTCCCATCTTTTATTCTCAATAGATGACCAAGAGCATAAGTATTGCTCCCCCCCCCCCCCCATTATGATACTTGTAGAGACTGGGTCTCGTTATCTTGCCAGGCTGGTCCCAAACTCCTGGGCTCAAGCAGTCCTCCCACCTCAGCTTCCCAAAGTATTGGGATTACAGGCATGAGCCATCATACACAGCCTCTTATTGGTTTTTACCATGTAAAAGTTTTATACACACACATACACACACATATTTGAGTTGGAGTCTCACTCTGTTGCCCAGGCTCTTCATCCTATGCCCTTGAATTATTCCCCTCCCATCAATCATCCTGCCTGGCTTTCCTCTTGAATCTTTTCAGACTTTCTCCACTGACCTCTCTTCTATCCACAGCTTACTTGAATCTTTTCTATTCCAGAAAAACCTCTTCTTGGCTTTGTTAACTTCTTAAGCTAGCATCCTCTTGTACATTTCTTTCTCTGCCATATTTGCCCCCAAATTAGTCTCTATTCACTGTCCCAGTTTTCTTACTGCTACTTATTCTTGAGAGCCCAAGTTTCCCTTTCAACCACTGACTGAAACTTGTCTCACAGGGTCCTTTATGACCTCAGGGAATCTAGTGGCCATGTGTCAAGTTTATTGCCACAGCCCTCTGCAGCATTTGAGATGGTTGACCCTCTCCCTTGAGACAGCCCTTCCCTTGGCTCTGAGATGCCCGGTGTCCCAGGTCTCTCCCACCTCTGGTCTCTGCCCATCATCTGCTCTGGCGCCTCTTCCTTTTCCTCCCCTGACATGTTACTCTCTCCCTTGGTGAACTGGATCCCTTCCTGTGGCTGTCACATCAATAAGGACGCCTCCTAGATGTACAGATTCCCAGCTCCCCGATGTACAGATTCCCAGATTCCCCACTCTCTGCCTCTTAGACTCTAGGGCTGAATGTCCAAGCTGCTTTTAACCAACTAAGAGGTCATTGTTAAGTTCAAGCCTGATGGAAAGGAGTGGGTGGCCTTAAGAGGTGCTGAAAGGGAACGATTTACTACCAGTTGGAAGTTGCTTTGCTGTGGAGCAGTGGTTCTCAGGCTAGGCTGCACATCACAGTCACCAGTAAAATTATACAATAAAAACCCTAGTGCTCAGGCTGCTTTCCAAACCAATCAGACGTGAATGTTCAGGCATGGGCCTAGACATCTATCCATGTTCTTACAAACTCCCCAGTGATTCCAGTGTACAGCCAACTTGGGAGGCCTAGAGCCGGGGGAGAGAGCAGGAGTCTTGGATCACCCATGGTTCTGGCTTTGATGGAGGTCAGATGGACATGTGGGTCACTAGATGATCAGACACAGAGCAGGTTTGGAGTAGATGGTGTGTTCTGTTTGGATAGTTGGAGTTTGAGCTGCCTGTGGGATAACCAAAAGAAGGGATCCCACAGATGCTTACAACTCCCTAAAAGATCTTTCCTTCTCCCAATTCTTCCATGGCCTGCACTGCTACAGGCAGCTCCCTGCTGGGAGGACACTTTCCCACAGCACCTCATGTCTTACCATCTCTGACTGTGGCATCTGTGGACAATATTCTACTTGCTGAGGGTTGGAATTACCTCCTCCTGGGTGATGTGGACATGGGGTCACCACCTAGTACCCCACCTTGGAAAGATCCCGGACAGAGCGCAGCTCCCCTTGTCTGAGAGCTCTGCCGTTGAGGGTCTGGTTGCACATCTGCTGTCAGTGTGAGCCAAGCACAGCAGGGGCTCATACCTTTCTTCCCCACCAAATGCAGAAAGGATGGGACCCGCTCCATCAGGAACAGTGGCTCAGGAGAACAGGGATTCTTGAGTCTGAGTGCTGTGGGGATAGGGTGGGGGTTGGGTGGTGGGATGACTATCTGGATCCCCAAGGGGACTGGAGAGTTGGGGAAAGCCCCTCAAGTCTTTCTGACATGGCTCCTAGAAGCTCAAAGACAGGATGCAGCCGAGGAGGCAGGGAAAGGTGGCACTCACAGTGGTGTGTCTCCGTATCTGGTTAATGGAGCCTGCTCTGAACCCACAGACCAGCCACAAGAGTCAGTGGGCAAGGTTAGGAGGCCAGTGACTTGCGATGCAGGGAGCAGTGGCCTTGGGATCGCACTGCGGGGACTGAGGCGGGGAGCAGAGGCCCTCCATGAGGGCAGCCCCAGGCAAGCCCCACTCTTGCCATCCTGTCTCCCTTGTCACTGCCTCCCTGACCTCTCCCTGTCTCCCCCTTTGCCCAGGCTGACGGGAACTGCCCTGCAGAGGTCCATCTGCGATCAGACCCTGACGATGCCAGAGCTATGACCGGGCCTGCAGGCGTGGTGCCGAGGGGAGATCAGCCATGGCGCAGCCACAGGAGGAGGCCCCTGAGGTCCGGGAAGAGGAGGAGAAAGAGGAAGTGGCAGAGGCAGAAGGAGCCCCAGAGCTCAATGGGGGACCAGAGCATGCACTTCCTTCCAGCAGCTACACAGGTGAGGAGAAGACTGGCAGGGGACACGAGCAGAGAAGACAGCTGGGCGGAACAGGGTTCTGGCCCTCTGTGAACAGTGCCTTGCGGGGTGCAGAGTAGCAGAGTGGTTAAGGACTAGAGCCAGTCAGCCTGGGCTCATGCCCCTCCTCTGCCCCTCGCCAGCTGCAGAGCCTTGGGCACATTTCCCCACTTTTTTTCTGTGAAACAGAAGAGGACGGCAGGTGATATGGATACGGACTTTTGTGAGAATTAGCTGAGTGAACATTTGTAAGCATGTTGTCATCAGGATCATTATTCCACCCCTGCTGCCATAAGGCAGCTGGGACCAACTGCACAAAGGGCACATCGAAAAATCAGCTGTACCTGGGATTGTTGTGAACAGTGGAAACACACGGCTCAGTTGATCTGGTGCTGGTTATTACACATCCCTGTTAAAGCACAGCTGAAATCAGGTAAAAATGCTCCACAGTTAGTATGAATGACTGGGGTGAATATTCCATTTGTATCTTAGCTTCTCCTGTCTCACTTGTCGGCGCCCCTTTATTTATCCACTGTCAGCAGCAGTGTAGATAGTTTTCTCCAGTACCATGTACTGTTCTGTCATCATCGGTTCTGTTATTGTCGTCATGTTATGTTGACCTTCAAGGGCACACAGACGCCACCTCTCAGCCCCTTTCTTTCTCTGCTGCTGATTCCCACCCCCTCACCTGAGTGCCACAGGGCGGCACATCCAACTGATCCTCACTCCCTTCCCCCAGAGGGAACCCGGGTTGTGAGGGAGTGGACACTCTGCACTTCCTGGGTTCGGTGAAGGAGAGCCTGGCCTCAGGCGGTGGCTCAGGGCAGAGAAGCAGGCCTGCCCCAGTGGGATGGGCTGTGGGCCCCTGTGTCTGCACGGGGTAAAGGAGGCAGTTGTGTCCCAGTTAATGCAAGATGGAGGCTGTGGAGGTAGCACAGGCTCCTGCCTGGGTCTGCAGCAAAGAGGGACTCGAACCGTTAAGCCACGCCACCTTGAACCTGCAAAGCAAGTCCTAGGATTTTGCAGAGGTTTTTCCTCTTCAGGGCACGGGATGGGGTGGGGGGAGGGGAGAGCCATCCTTCCAGTCCTTCTGATCCGACTCAGTCACAGGGAGTGACCACAGTAGGTTTGGTGTGATTCCAGGGCCAAAGTGAAGCTGTCCCCCATCCCTAGAGTAACCCATTCCCTGTCTAGTGGCTGGTGGCTGGGATGACTTTGGAGATTTAGCCTGTTTCACAAGGGAAGAATGGCTAACCAGGAGTGATAATTCACTTGGCATCAATATCACATCCTGTTCTGGACTTGAGGAAGGTTAGAAGGGGTTAGATGCTAAGGGAAGATGCTGAGGGCTAAGAGCAAGTATGAGCTATCTTGAGGATCCAGTAGAATGAGGGAGGGGAGACGGCCATACCACCTGCCCTGGCCTACCTCACCCCCCATCTGGGCCCAGGCGGATGGAAGTGACCTGCAGAGCAACTTCCTGCCCTGGAGTTCCTACACACCCCATGTGGGGACCAGTGCTGTATCCCAGGTAGCACTGCTGCTCACATGCAGGCCAAGGCGAGGCGCCTGGGAGCAGGAGCAAGGTGAGGCAGACATGACACTGACATCTCAGCAGCTTCACTGGGATTCAGGGCATGGAGAATTATCCAGGGCAGATTTGCCTGACCAGTGCTTGTATGAGGTAGTGCTTAATATATTCGGACTGCCAAATCAGCACATGAAGTGGATGCAGAGAGACTTCCTTGTTCAGTACTTGAAACAGGAGGGGACCGTGTAACATGATCACAGTGGGTTAAAGCCAAAAAAGGTCCCACAAATTCTATAAGACAAGCCACCTAACAGAAGAATCCAAACAGTTCAAATAATACAAATACAAGTGACCAGAAATCACATCAGGTTTTCCAGTCTAACAAGTGATCAGAGAAGCCTTCTGGATTGTTGTTGTTTTTGAGATAAGGTCTCACTCTGTTGCCCAGGCTGGAGTGCACTCGCACAATCATAGCTCACTACAGCCTTGACCCCCTGGACTCTACTGCTCCGCCTGCCTCAGCCCCCTACAAGGCATCTTAAGTTGCGATGTCATTTCGCCTGTCAGATTGGTGAAGAGGACTGTGTGGTCAGTGTTGACCTGCTGGCGAGGACGTGGCCCTTCCACTGCCAATGGTAAGGGCAGTGTAGACCAACACTTGAGTGTACATCTCTTTTTTTTTTTTTGAGTTGGAGTCTCACTCTGTCTCCCAGACTGGAGTGCAGTGGCCGCTCCTGGCCACCACAGCCACGACCTGCTGGGCTCAGGTGATCCTTCCACCTCAGCCTTCCAAGTAGCTGGAATTACAGGCATGCACTACCACGCCTGGTTAATTTTTTTTTATTTATTGTAGAGATACGGTCTCACCATGTTGCCCAGGCGAGTCTCGAACCCACGGGCTCAGGCAATCCACTCACCTCAGCCTCCCAAGGCGCGGGATTACAGGCTGAGCCACCGAGCCCGGCGAGTGTACATTTCTTTTACCCTGCAGTTCCACTTCTAGGAATGTGTCCTGTGTAAATACTTGCTCAGCATGCACAGAGATTTCCACACCAGCTTATTTACTGCAGCACTGCTTATAAGAACCAAAAATAGGAAAGCACCCATCTATGGGGAACTGGTTATGTAAACTGTGGTGAGCCGGATGGTGAAATGCTCTGGAGTCATTGGAAAAGGACAAGGCTAGTTTGTATATATTAAATAAGTTTCTGACAAATTGGGGATCCCATGGTTTAAAATCTTTGTGTCATAAAAAACGCCAGAAGGGTGTGTACTGAAGGACCAGTGGGACTAACTCTGAGAAACAGGATCATGGATAAGGAGGATCTGTCATAAGATGCTGCACACCCTTATGAATTTTTCTCAACAAACCTGTACTGCTTTTATGATTTAAAAAGCAGTTGAACTGCTTTGCTTGGTTTTGTTTTTTTGGAATTGGGGTCTTAACTCTGTCACCCAGGCTGAAGTACAGTGTCGTGATTACAACAATCATGGCTCATGGCAGTCTCAACCTCCTGATCACTTGGCTCAAGTGATCCTCCTGCCTCAGCCTCCTGAGTAGCTGGGACTACAGATTTACACCACTGTGCCTGGCTTATTTTTGTAGAGATGAGGTTTCGCTATATTGCCCAAGCTGGTCTTGGACTCCTGGGCTCAAGCAGTCCACCCACCTCAGGCTCCCAAAGTGCTTGGATTACAGGCCATCATGCCCAGCCTGCTTTTTTCTTTTTTAAGGTTAAAGTTAATTGTTTAAGGCCAGGCACAGTGATTCATGCCCATAATCCCAGCACTTTGGGAGGCCAAGGCAAGAGGATTGCCTGATCCCTGGAGTTTGAGACCAGCCTGGGCAACATGATGCAAGACATTGTCTCTACAACAAATCAAAAAAATTTGCTAGGAGTGGTAGCACGTGCTTGTAGTCCCAGCTACTTGGAAAGCTGAGGCGAAGAATTGCCTGAGCCCAGCAAGTTGAGGCTGCAATGAGCTGTGATCCTTCCACTGTACTCCAGCCTGGGTGACAGAGTAAGACTCTGAGTCAAAAAAAAAAAATGAATTGTTTAAAAAGGGGATAGGGCTGGGGGCAGTGACTCATGCCTATAATCCCAGCACTTTGGGAGGCCAAGGTAAGAGGATTGCCTAAACCCACGGGTTCAAGACCAGCCTGGGCAACTTGGGGAGACCTCACCTCTACTGTAAATAAAAAGTTAGTTGGGTGTGGTGGTGCACGCCTGTAGTTCCAACTACTTGGAAGGTTGAGGTGGAAGGATCACCTGAGCCCAGCAGTTTGAGCCTGTGGTGACCTTGAGTATGCTACTGAACTCCAGCCTGGGCAACAGAGTGAGACTCCAACTCAAAAAATAAAATAGGCCGGACTTGGTAGCTCAGCCTGTAATCCCAGCAGTTTGGGAAGCCAAGGCAAGTAGATTACCTGAGCCCACGGATTCAAGACCAGCCCGGGCAACTTGGAGAGACTTCGTCTCTACAATAAATAAAAAATAAGCCAGGTGTGGTAGCATGCGCCTGTAGTTCTGCTACTTGGATGACTGAGGTGGAAGAATCACCAGAGCCCAGGAGGTTGACACTGGGATAACCATGAAAGTACCATGGCACTCCAGCCTGGGCTACAGAGTGAGACTCCAACTCAAAAATAGGATAGGATAGGATAGGATAGGATAGGATAGAATAGGGTGTGGAAGCACATGCCTATAGTCCCAGCTACTTGGGAGACTGAGATGAGAGGATCGTGTGAGCCTAGGAGCTCGAGGTTATAGTGAGTTAAGATTGGGTCATTGCATTCCAGCCTGGGCAACAGAGTGAGACTTTTCTCTAAATTAAAAAAAAAAATTAATAAGGGGGTTGAGGATCTGGCGGGTAAGGGGTCCTTGAGATAAAGCCTCATCCTGTGAATAGGGGCAAAAGGGCTTTGAGGTCACACAAGCCAGGGTAGGAATCCCAGGTCTGCACTGTGAGCTGTGGCCCTTGCCACAACCTTCACTTCTCCAAGTTTATCTGTCTCTTCACCTTTAAAGGCTGTGTCATGTCCCCCAAGGGCCAGTCAGGTGAGAGTTAATGGTGGTGTCTAACACACCACAGGGTACCACCCCCAGGGGTTATGACTTTGGCCTCTGGAATCCCAGGGACCCAAAAGGACATAAACTGTGAGCCCTGAGACAGCAGGAGAATACCACCGTTTGCTTTACCTCTAACCCTGCAGCAGCTCTGCACTGACTGTGCATCTTGATATTGAGCTCCTCGCCCTCCCCTCCAAGCAGGTGGATAGGCTTTACCATCCACAAGGAAATGGAGGTTCCCAGGATCTCGCTTGCTCAGGGTCCCCCAGCTGGGAAGGGGCAGGGGCAGTGAGAGCCAGGGCTCACACCCCATTCCCATTCTCATTCCTCCTGCTTCCATGACATTCTTCCCAGTCACACCTGAGAAGGAGGTAGATAAA